TTTATTTATTTGCCCAAGCTAGATAAGAGGAACTGGGTTAATTTTGAAACCCTCAACTTCCTTTTTTCTAAACCAGTAGCTATTGCTACCCTGTAGTGTGTTCTTGCCTTTGCAGGAAGTTGCAAAAAATGAGAAAAAAAAAAAAAAAAAGAGACCAACAAAACCAAGTTGGCCTTATTTTTAGCTTTCCTCTGATTTAGATATAGTTAGGGTCCTTGCTGTTTCTCATGGCAGCTTAACATAACTTTTCAAGGGAAAACCAAAAAGCAATGGGGAGTAGTAGGGGGTTATACCCAAGGTCATATGCAGGGTTATTGTCACAAAGCTGAGCTGTTGGATTCCAGACAGTTTGAGAGCTCATATGCTCTGCTCTACTTGGTCTCTCCCAAGCAGGGCTCCTGCTTAGTCTTTCCTTGCCCAGCTTAGGTCTCTTCCAGGCCAGGTATCAGTGTCCTTGGAGGAGTAGTTTAAGTTTCTCAGCTGCTGTTCCTACTCTGAATATTACTAGTATTATGGTAATTGGGTATCTAACACTTTAAGGGCAAGGGGTTGTTGCAAATGTGAATGTTTTTACAAACTGAGATAAAAATAGTTAGGAAGACCTATATTTGTGAAATTTTAATTAGTTTAGTTTAAGAAAACATTATATTATATAAGCTTACATTGAGAGTTAGGCCTGCTGCATTTCCTTCCTTCCTTCCTTCCTTCCKTCYKTCYTTCCTTCCTTCCTTCCTTCCTATTTTTCTTCCTTCCTTTCTTTCTTTCGGTGTAGTCTGCAAGCTAAAAATGGTTTTAACATGCTTAATAGGTTGAAAAAATTAAAAAAACTATTATTTCATAATGTTAAAATTGTTATCAAATTCAGATTTAAGGCTTTGTAGAAATTCTTTTTCTCTCCTATTATGTAAGCACCAATACAATGTCCTCACATTTGCTTTTTGGCCTATAAAGCCTAAAATATTTGCTAACTGGTATTGCAGGAAAAGGTTGCAGATCCCTATTTTAGGTTAGAATAGCTTGGAATTCAGTATTAGGTAGAACTGAATTGAGCACCAGGGCTTCCATTTACTGATTGAATGACCTTGATTAAGCTATTTTAATTTTCTAAGGTCCAGCTTCTTTACCTATAAAATAGGCATACAACTAGGTGAGGTGGCACACTTATGTAACATTAGCTTTCTGGTAAGATGAGGCAGGAGGATGGTAAGTTCAAGGCCAGCCTGGTCTACTTAAAATAAGAAGGGTTGTCAATGTAGCTCAGTGGTAGAGCACTTGCCTAGCATTCATGAATTCCTGGGTCCAATCTCCAGTACTGTTAAGGAAAAGGGAGGGGGCATATAAATCATGTTTTCCTCAAAGACTTAAATGAAATAATCCATTTAATGTGGGTTTAACATAATACTTATCATGTAGTAAGGGCTCAACACATTGTAAAAATAATAGTTGTAATTGTTTTGTCATAAATTCATTGAGAATAAGCAAAATTGCAAAACTAAATGAGAATGAAAATTTAAGGTACAATTTAAGCTGTAATAAGTTCCTACTATACTTAGAAATTATTTTTATTTGAAAAGATTTAACATTTATTGTTACATATTTATTATACAGAATAGTGGATTTCATTGAGATATATTTGTACAAGTACCTAACATAATCTGATCAATTTCTTTTTTCAGTACTTCCTCTTGCCCATCTCCTTCCCCTACACTACTGGTGTATTTTCATGAGGTTGCTCTTTCATTTTATTCCCCCCTCAGACCCCACTTTCACATGTGAGAGAAAACATAATGACCCTTGACTTCCTGAGTCTGGCTTATTTCACTTAGCAGGATGCTCTCAAGTTGCATCCATTTTCCTGCAAATGATATAATTTCGTTCTTCTTTATGGCTGCATAAAACTATTGTGTGTATATATATCACATTTTCTTTATCCATTCATCTGTTGATGGACACCTAGGCTGGTTCCATAATTTGGCCATTGTGAATTGTCTGCTTTAACCATGAGTATGTATGTTTCTCTAAAGTATGCTACCTTTAAATCTTTTGGATAGATACTGAGGAATAGTATGGCTGGATCATATGGTAGTCTTGATTTTAGTTTTTTGAAACTCCATTATGATTTCCACGGTGGTTGTACTAATTCACATTCCCAACAAAAAAATATAAGGGTTCAAAAGGCATTTTGATGGGCTGGGGTTGTGGCTCAGAGGTAGAGTGTTCACCTACCATGTGTGAGGCACTGGGTTCAATCCTCAGCACACATAAAAATAAAATAAAGATATTGTGTCCACCTATAACTAAAAAATAAATATTTTTTAAAAAGGCATTTTGAACTAAACAGTGACAAAGACTCATCGGGACTAGATAAAATTGATAAATGTTGTATTATAATAGAAGTAAWCATACAAGAGTCAGATTCAGACAGAACTGAGATTATAAATTATGTATCTGAATTAATCAAAAACCTTGGCTTGGGAGGGTGGTACCCTGGGGCACTCAACCACTGAGCCACATCCTCAGCCTTTTTATTTTTTAGTTGTAGTTGAACACAATACCTTTATTTTATTTATTTATTATTATGTGGTGCTGAGGATCAAACCCAGGGCCTTTCACGTGTAGGTGAGCATTCTACCAATGAGCCACAACCAAAGCCCTCCCCCATAGCCATTTAAATATTTTATTTAGACACAGGGTCTCACTAAGTTGCTGAGGCTGGCTTTTAACTCAGGATTCTCTGCCTTAGCCGCCTAAGCTTTTGGCATTACAGGCCTGTGTCATCTTGTCCATCTGGCTTTTTAAAACTTGCTAAATTCTGTCAGTTACTAGAATCAGAAAAGAAAATGACAGTACCCCATAGAATTTATGGACAATTATTTTGCTGAAGAGGAATATGGAAACAGACAAAAGGAAAATTTTCTTCAACCTGTAATCTTTATATTCATACCTAAGGTCAAGACTAGAAATTACTGATGTTAGCACTTCTCTACAAAGCATACTGTAACCCCAACAACTGGATTCACAGATGAACCTTTAACTTTTTAAAAAATTATACTTTGAGATAAAGTCACAAATGATACAATTCATCAATGTAACATGTGCCATTCAATTATTTTGAGCACATTCACAGAATTTTGTTATTATCACCACAATTGATTTTAGGACATTTTAGGAAAACACAGTACTTATTAGCAGTCACTCCCTACCTGCCACATCCTGAAAACCACTAATCTACTTCCTGTCTCTCTAGATTTGCCTATTCTGGACATTTTATCTAAATGGAATCATATAATATGTGGTCTTCTGAAAAATGGCTTTGTCACTTAGCACAATGTTTTAGAGATTCCATGTTGTGGTAGGATATAAGTGCTTTCTTCCTGCTTATGACAGATAATTTTCCACTGGATATATCACATTTTATTTGCCCATCAGCAGATGAACATTTGGGATACATTTAACTTTTGATCAATATAAAAACTTGCTTTTGCCTGGAGTATGCTGTAACATAACTAAACTGTCTTCATAAGGCCCAGATTGCTTTTTGTGAGGGATAAGAGATATTAGTAAAACATTCAGCCAAAGCCATGTTAAGAGAATCTGGAAGAACTTACTTGAAAGATATGTAAAAGGAGGTGTTTGGGATTGTAATAGCTTCCTTTCAGGTGTCAGTGCAGTGCAGGAGTGTCACCATGTGCATATGGCAATGCCTGTGGGTGCAATGCTACTTTCTCTTTTGATCTGTCAAAATTTTCAATATTCCATAGCGTTTCTGAAACCAAAAAGTTTGTGATTATTTTGTTGAGGGCTTAAGGCTATCTCTTGTGGGCTGTCCATCTCAGCTTCTTTAAAGTGAACTTAACCACCAGGTTCCACTTGTTAGCCTCAATTCTTCCAATGCTGGTTCGTGATTACATTATGAGAGGTGGCAAAGCATTCAATTTCTGACTTTTTAGGTCCAGTATATGTGAGTATAAGATCCTTGAATTCCTGGGACCCTCTCCCTTAGCTGTGTTCTCAATAGCTGTGTTATACCAAACAGTAGTTTGAAGAAAAAAGAAATCAAACATTTATTTGGTATCAAGAAAATTGTAAAAAATATGGCTTTTGCATCCGATACATTAACTTGGCTATATAACCTCTCTGCCTTATGTATAAAAGTGGGATAACAACACTACATAGAACTGAATATTGTCAGTACATTAAAATATGCACAACCTTGTAAGTAACCATGGAAATACAAATGAAGACTACAATGAAGTATCATTCTGTATTCAATTGACATTTAGTTCAATGAGATCTTTAATACGTTGTTGGGGAAATGTAAGAATTTGTGCAAACATTTTGAAAACATAATGGTGCCTTTTCTTGTAAAATGTAACATCTGTAATAACTAAGATACAGCAATTCTGCTTTTACAAACACATTAAAGGGAAAGTTGAGCAAATATACACCAGGAAATATGTTCATGTTTGCCTGACAGAAAAACCTGAAAGCAATTGATAGAAAATGGATAAATAACCGTACAGTCACACAATAAAATATAACTCAATAGTGGAGTTGAAAATATAGCAAATTCCAGGGCATTATATATTATATGGTAATCTTTTTATAAAATTGAAAAAGAAGCCAAATTAAACGACACATGGTAAAAAGAAAATTAGAAAGACAACTTGGATAAAGCTCAAAAATGTCAAGTTGACAAGGTCTATGTTCCGCGGAAACACTTTAGGTCAGGCCACCCACCCCAAGTTCAAACTAGCCTTATCCCTGACAACAGCCTGTAGCTCTAAGGCTGCGGGAGGGCAGAGAGCTTCAGAGCAGGGCCGCTCCGCGCAGCCTCGCTCAGGTTCAGAGAGTCCTCCCTGAGAGCGTGTCTTGCTCCCGTGGGGGCGTGTCCAGAACCCCTGGGGGCGTGGCGGGGTGAACAGAGCGTCAGTCATGGCCCAGGTAATGGGCGGGTTTCGAGAAGCTAAGTGGCGCGGGATGATGACGCAAGACCCGGGCCYGGTGTGGCGTGCGCTGAGTGCGCGGCTGCGGCTCCGCGTCTGGGTGTCAGCTTTGGAGCTGGCGTGCGGTAGGCCGGGATGTTACAGACTTCTGGAGCTCAGGATGAGGAAGAGGAGCACGCGGAGGAGGACTGTCCTGAATTGGTTCCCATTGAGACGAAGCAGGGAGAAGAGGAGGAGAAGCCTGGCCCCGGTGCTAAGATCCCAGTCACAATTATCACCGGGTATTTAGGTAACTAAGCATCCCGGTCAGAAAATGCCACGAACTCTGGGATTTGGGGGCCTGCTGGGGCCCCTTCTCCTTAGTAACTGGGACCGCCTGGCCGACAGGAAGGGTGTTTGAGGTAGGGGCTGGGTCACTTGATCCTCGTATGGATTGCCTCTCAAAATCTCAAGTGAGATTAAAGTTAGCCACTCATTTTGAACCTGGGCTTTGAAGCCTGGACTCACCTCTTAATTATTCTTGTGACCTCTAACAAGTCATCTTACCTCCCACTCATCTATCTCACTCGAAAATGGAAATAATACTGGTCACCTGCCTGAGCTTGTTTTCTCATTTGCAAAACGGGGCAGGAAACACCCACCTTAAAAGCATTTTTGCCATTAAATGTTGCCCTGTCTGTACAATGCCCCACACTTAAGGGACATTCCTTGGTATATTGCACGTCCCCAGGAGCGAAACTCCTCCAGCCATTATGAAAAAGTACTTATAACCCAAACATTTTTATTGAGGTTTCTTTGCAGAGGACTGTGAGAGAAAGTAAGAATAAAATCTTTGCCCTCCAAGAGTGTTTCTCAAACTGAGAAAGTTCATGATTACACAGGGATACTTGAAACCGCAGGTTTGTGAACATGGTACCATTTTCTGAAGGGCAGTTTATGCCCTTATTTTTCGCCGAAACGTTTGAGAATGCTATTTACAAACCCTACAGTTAAATAGGAGGGCTAGAATAAATACATGACTATATTTAAAAGATGAAAACAGTTAAAAGAGGTGAATAAAGTGATACTATTTCCGGGAAATACCAACAGTGCTAGAGACTGATGAGGACTTGAGAGCCTTTTACATAAAAATAAGAAATCACTGATGTTTCCTTTTTTTTTTTTATGGATTGTAAGTTTATTCTCATTTTTATTCAGAACTGATTTTTTTAAAAGAATGGRTTTTTGGTACTTCCCCACTATTCAAAGGTGACACTACTGAGAAGTTGAACAAATTCCTTATCCACAACAGTATACTTAAACTTGCCACTCATTTTGCTTACTGGTAAAAATCAATTTCATAGATAGTGTAAAACATACTAATAGTATCAATATAGTTGGTAAAGCATTGGAGATGATGGTCTAAACTGCCAGAGTGAGAACTAAATGTCAGCATCTTTCTTGTTACTAAATCTAGGATACAATTTGACCCCTTGATCATTTTATTTTTTTGAAACAGTGTTCCATCGGTTTCTATTTGATTCTCTTCTCATTTTTCTATGTGTTTCTCTGGATTTTTAAGCCATCTCTTCCTATTCATTTTTCAGCTTGACTTCCACATAGTTTCAATTTTGATGTCCTGTAGAAATCCCAAAACTTAACATGTTCAGCAATTTACATGTTACTGTCCCCTCAGATGCTTCCATTCCTGTGATTCCAACCACCTGGGATGCTCTAACAGCTTCCTAACTACCATAATCTTGAGGTTCTTTTTTTTTTTTTTCCCTTTAATATATTCTCTGTAGGTTAGCCCTAATGATCTTTATAAATGTTACTCTGATTTGTTAAACCCTTCAGTGGCTTCTACTTGAGTTAAAGTGCAAACTCCTTAACGTGAATTACAAGGACCTGTATGATCTGGCTTTCAGCTAAACTATGCAGCCTGCCAAATGGTGGCCCAGCACACTGAACTAATTTTACTTCTTAAAAGCACTCAGTATTTTAGTCCCTTGGGATATTTTTCTTACTCCTTTGGCTATGCCTGACTTGGGTTCTAAGTAGCATCTTGTTCATCTGTTGAATGTTATCATCCTATGACATAATTGAATTGCCTCTTTATTTATCTAAATTCATTTTTTCCCACCCATAAGCTCCATGTAGGCAATACTACCTTTGCCTTGTACACTTTTCATCAAGACACAGTATAAATATGGTTCATAGTAGATACTTTTGAAAGAATGGACTATATCTTAAAATCTTTTTCTCCATAATGTGATTTAATTCTTAAGCCCTAGTAATTATTCTATCAGAAGGTTTTTTATATTCACAGCTTATTTCAGCTTTCACTGTCATTGCCCTGTGTGTCACTCTTGTTCGGACCTCTCTCTCACACTGGTTTCCCTAGTTATACTCTAGAAAACTTGAGTATGTATTTCAGTGGACACCTGTAAACTACATGTAGAAGTTTTTAGCAGCACTGTGATAAAATGCTGAAAACAACCCAAATGTCCACCAACAAAAATAGATTATAAAGGATGTATTCATGCAATTGAAATATGTTACTACACAATTGAAGTTTTCCTTTATTCCTTTATGAACTTTGATATGTTTGGTTAATAATATAAACGTTTTTTCTTCTACTTGAAATGAACACATACTAGGTTTAATACGCCACCTACTGGAGGAATTTAGCGTAGCTTTATGAATATGTCTTTCTAAATAAGGAATATTCCCATCTTTCGTAGACAGTTCTTACTTCTGTTTCATACAATATATAACAATTTATAGATTGCTTTAAGCATACTAAAAGTAGAAATATAGCCATCCTGAATTTGTGTATGTTTAATCGATAGTGATACAAAAAATAGTTATTTAGATGTAAAGTTTAGGGAAGTAAACCAAGTCATCTCTGTTCAGAAATATTGTCATAATATAAAAGGGAATTACAGATTTTGAATTTTATAAATTATATTTTATTCCTCTGAAATCATTATTTTATTAATTCATTATTTAATAGAAATTTTAGATTCCCTTGTATTGTATAAGTTATGAAGAAGACATTCGTTTAGTAAAATTAGGTTAAAAAACTGATTTAATTGWAGTATTAGTAAATATTTATAAAATATATAAAGCATATTATACTTTTCAAAGATTGCTTTAATCTTTTCCTTTAGAATTTCTTGTATCATAGTTAAGTATGAAAAATAGCACACAAATTGTTAAAAATATCACGACTTTTATTATCCTTTTCATGCCTTTAAAATTAGTCTTTGAATTTTGCTACTTTAATGTATTTTATAGGTGCTGGAAAGACAACTCTTCTGAACTACATTTTGACAGAACAACATAGTAAAAAAATAGCAGTTATTTTAAATGAATTTGGAGAAGGTAAGTAAATTTCAGTATTATGTTGTGCTTCAGTAACTTAGTGGACAGTTTATTATACTGGTTAATTGATATTCAGTATKTAAAATGAAAATGGTATGTATTATAATCCACACATGCTGATAGGGATAGCTTTGAAAAGTTTAGATTAATTTCTGTTAAGCTGTACTTTTGTGGATTTGGAATATTAACATCAGATAATTTCTAAAACTTTTATTTTGTGTAACTTTGAAATTCATATCAACAGAATTAAAATACATTTTTATGCAAAATAAATCCAGAGGTAAAAATCTTTTCTCTTTTTAAAAAAATTTATACTACATATATGCACAGTACCTTTAGATAGACACAGTACCTTTATTTTATTTATTTGTCTTTATGTGGTGTTGAGGATTGAACCCAGGGCCTCACATGTGCTAGGCAAGTGCTGAGTTACAACCTCAGTCCCCAGAGGTAAAAATCTTACTATTTGAAAGAAAAGTTTTTTTGTTTGTTTTGTTTTTTAAAGGCACTAAGGTGCTTTGGTACTAACTATATTGTGTATTTCTGCTCATGAATATATTTGAAATTCTTCAGATATTATAAGTTTACCTTGTTAAATGTTTAGTATCTGCAAAGCAGTTAAAACTGAGGATTTTAAAATTTAGTTAATATATTATCTCTTTTCAGAGTGCTCAAATTATCTATAAAAATATATGTGCTTAACTTTCTGTCTTTACCATTAAACTGTTGTTAATAAATCTGTTCATCAGTTTTAGACACAAGTATTAACTTTAATGAAATCTAACATTTTAGCCAAAACATAATTTTTGTTAGAACGTTTCTTAAAGTCTACTCTTTTTCCATTGTAAATGAGTAAAAGAGCTAGGTTTTATGGAGACCATGGGACACCTGGTAGTAAAATGTGATTTCTTATTTCAGTAAACTAAAGAGAAAAGACAAAATAAAAATACTGAGATTTGTTTTTCTTTCTTTCTTGTGCAGTACTGGGGATCAAACCCAGGACCTTGCACATATTAGACAGGCATTCTACCATTGTGCTACACTTCCTACCCATATAAACTCTGAGATTTCTAATACTGGTCCTTTTTAACTTCTTATTAACTAATTTTCTGTTGTACACTGGTTACATTCATTGTGTTATTTTTCATTGCTTTTCTTCATTTTCAGAAATTTGTCCTTCATAGCATTCTCAATATTTTTCTTCATGTTTTATGAACATTCCACATAGCTTGAATTTTGTGGCAATCCCTTTAAAAGCTCTTTATCATCATCTACCTCAAATATGAACAAAAATATATATAAGTGTAAAACGATGGTTTCTCTTTTGGAAACAAAGGCCATTTCCTTTCCCAGACATTTAAGATTCTTCCTTGGCTTTGGTATATTTCTTTTTTGCAGGAAAAGTAAACATTTTAAATCATTCTTAAATTCTTTCCCAGGTAATTATTACTAGGAAATTTTTGTATATTTGACAAAAAGTTTATTTTTTAAATGAACACATGATATTCTGATCATAAATTTCTTTAAAATGGACTAGTACTTATACTGGGAATTTGAATAATCTGTCTAATAGAAACAAACAAGGTATAGGAAGAATAAAAAAAAAAAAGTAGTTAAGACAGGCTTATCAGTTGACAAAAGGGTTCACCAAAACCATCATGTAAAACATACTAGTCTGCCTAGAAAGTTTTCCATGGACAAGAAAAAAATGCTTCCAAGGCAGCTACTTTATCAAGAAATAGAAATGGTCAAGAAGAGGCCTCAAGAGGAAATAGGTATGTTCATTGATTTTTGGATTTGCTTCTCTACAGGCTTAAAATCTTCTTAAAGAAAAGCTAAAATAATCTAGAATACTATAATTTAAATATTCAGGCTGCATGAATAGAAAGAAAGAATAAAAATTATAAAATGCATTTGTGCTTTGAAATCTGTTCCACATTTAAATATTCTCATCTTTATTTTTGGTCAGCTATTGAACACAATCTAAAGAGATTATGTTGATTATGTTGTAAAATTATCTTGTTAATTTTTCTAGGAAGTGCAGTAGAGAAATCCTTAGCTATCAGCCAAGGTGGAGAGCTGTATGAAGAGTGGCTGGAACTTGGAAACGGTTGCCTCTGCTGTTCAGTGAAGTAAGGAATCTGTTCACTATGTGTTTGTTAGCTTACTAGAAATGTTTACTGATATTTCCATCTTTGATTTTCCTGATTAAATTAACTGAATTTACATACTGTTTGCTTCATTGTATTTTTCAAATAGAAAATAAGCTTAGCAGAGTGTATTAAAGTTCTTTTTTTACTATTTTTTTTATCTGCTTGAATTCTTTCCTCCTTTTATTGAATTTTATATTAGGTGTTCAAGTTTATTTCATTACTAATTTCTCATGAGTGAAAGTCACATATCATATGCAAAAGATGATTATTTTGAATTTTATATATCATTAATTTCATTTCCAAGTATTTGATCTCTTTAAAACAAAACAAATTATTATCAAAAAGTAACCTTTCATTAGTAGTTTCCAAGGGCATTATTTTGTTCACTAAACTGTGGTAAATCCTAGAAGAGTAGCTTGTATATAGTAGCAACTCATATATTTGATAAATTATGGAAACTAACACATGTATTATTGATTTTGTATATTCTAGTGAATTAATTTCTTCTACATAATTTCCTCCCTATATGTTGACTTTGAGTCAAATAAATTGGGAAGCATGAAGTCATAACTGACTTTCTTAAACAACCAGAATGTCATATAGTCAGTATTATTTTTCTTCACTTTTGTATTATAAGAAAAAAAGGAAATTTGATCCTATACCCTAATTCAGAATAGAGTTAAATGGTATTTAATGACAGCGTCCCTTTAGCTATTAAATTATTGTGGCTAATAAATTTTATCATTATTTTGAATGTTGATTTTTTTTCTTTCATAAAACTATAGCATTGACTTTAGTCAAATGAAGTTCTTTCTGCTTTTAATTTTAATAAAGTATTAACTCATTACATTTTTTTAACCTGTGTGTATATATGCATCTATTTACTTCTCCTCATTGTAAATATTGAATGGACATTTTATTAGATACTTAGGAGCAAGTTAAATTTTCACATGCCTAGAGGTATTTTTGAGTTGTGTTGTTGAATATATTTTAAAATGTTCATGATGAACATTTAAAAATATTCAGGTAATCAACTCTATGTATTACATTTTGCTATTCTCTAGGGATAATGGCCTTAGAGCTATTGAGAATTTGATGCAGAAGAAGGGGAAATTTGATTACATACTGTTAGAGACTACTGGGTTAGCAGATCCTGGTAAGAAATGACATTATTAATAATCAGAATATTGTTCTTTTGACTTTTTAAATAGATATATTGGAGAAATATTTAAAATGAGTATTAACCTGGGGGTGTAACTAAGTGGTAGAGTGCTTGCCTAGGAAAGCCCTGAATTCAGTCCACAGCAGCACACAAACACACATACACACACAAATTTATCTCCTGATTGACTGCTTTTTATGGTAAGGTAATCTTTTCAAGTTATAAGTGCTGCATTCTTTGAACTCTTGCTTATTTCCTTGTTTGAGAATACTTGTCTTTTGTTTTTATACTTAAAGGATTACTTATATTTCTATAGTTATATAAATATTATATTTATATTAAAGGATACAATTTTGGGTCAAAATTTCTTTCCCTCATGTTTTGCAAGTGTTTTACTATAGTTTCTTATTACTTTTTAGATTGGTCAGTTTTCCTTGTTCAGTGATTTGTTTTATTTTTTATTATTATTTTTGGTGGTGCTRAGGATCAAACCCAGGGCCTCATGCATGCTAGACAAGCATTCTACCACTGAGTTACATCCCCAGCCCTCTCCTTTTATTTTATCAGGAAGAATTTGTGAGTGTTGTAGTGTCTGAGTTTCAATGCTTGTTGTTTCCTTTAATGTTTGAGAATGTTTTTCATTCCTGAAAAACAACTTGGCAGTTATTAC